TATGTTCAAGTTGTGCGCCATCTTGATACACATATTTCTGGAGCTCCGATTAGGGTATGCTCTTAAATAACGTACTCTAAAAACATAACTGTTTTTATCACAAATACTTGTTTTACAGGAAAATGCGACGAGATTTCCTACGGCAAAATTTCCTACGGCGAGATTTCCTACAGAGAATCTAGAACCAAAATGAAATACCTTTGTTCGCAGCCCTTCTGAATCGGCTGGGTGCTTCCGAGCCAGATCCTGATCCTGAATGATCATGATCATGGTGATGGTGATGGTGATGACGATGTCCATGACGTCTATGGTGGTAGTCATAGTAATGATGGTCGTCATAATAGGAACAGCTACTGCAATGGTGATTGTGCTCATAATGGTGACCGTGATGATGTTTGTCGTGCTTATGGTGTTTATGATGATGATGACCGTCTCCAGAACCGCTGTACCCTGAGCCAGAACCGAAATAATGCCGCGCTTTCGTATCGTCGCCGGCCTTCTTGCTGTCGCTCTTAGCTTTTGGTGTTTTTTTGTTCTTTGGGTGTTTCTCCGATTCATCAAAATTTGTGACGTCATCTGCGAACAAAAAAAGATAATGTTTAAATATAAATACACCAAGGTTGCGCAATGGTATGTCGTGTAGATACGGTAAATGGAAGCTACACTGTGATACATATAATATATTAATATATAATATACCCATGCAAAATTGATTACCATGAGATATTTATATAGGCATTGGACGTTGTAGTTTTTGGTTCTAACCCGCGGGGAGAAGCGTACCTGTTTTGGAGTCGGACCGCCCCCGTTGAAATGTAAAAAAAAGCCTTTTTCTGTATCAAACATAGCAATTTTCTTAGCTTGGAACGCTTCTTAGACCCTAAACTCTCGCAACCCATCGTTTTCTCGCTAGCTATTACGATCTAATTTCGCAATTGAAAATTCCCCTTCCCTTTGATGACTTCGCCTTTGGTTTAAACCACCGACGATCAAGCCCCCAGTTAGCCTCTTGCACATAATCACCCCCTCCCCCCGCCCCCCCCCCCCCCCCCCCCATAGTACCCGTGAAGGTGCACGTTTCTAGCGTTCGGCACGATGCGCCCATCTACGAGAAAACGAACGAGAGCAATATTCTGAAATATACTGATACGATGTTCGAGTATCGTTACTAGTGAAGCCTTTACTGAGCATTAAGTTTGCTAATAAGATCGATGAGAGAATGTGACGTAATTGGGTGTTCCCCTATATATAAAAAAATGTTCCCAAATATAAAAAGAAAACTGCAAAATTTGGGGATTTTAGAAAAATTAGGCCTCATTAAACTCCATAAGAAAAAATAAAAGTAATAGCTTTCTAGTGATTTCTTATAAATGATCGCCATGACATTTTAAAAATGTTTGGAATTGCAAAGGGAATTTATGGATACCATATATGGTTTTGGCCCTCACAGATGTATTAAATGAAGTAAAAATATTTGAACAATTACTGAATTACTTAAAAAACATCAAACGTGGTTAAGATATATTGAGAACTGACTTCATAATAAAATTGAAACTGTAAAGGGACTTCATAGACACCCTGTATATTTAAGAACTGAAAATTCGAATTTGATTCCGGCAAAAATCATTTTTTTCTCTAACAACACAGCAACTCGGCAAAACGATCTATATTGTAGGTTTGATTGGACCGTTCTAAGATTGTGGAGAATAAAAAACAATTCAATCGACTCATGCTCCGGATTTGAATAAAAATAGACTCCGTATACATCTACCGATTACAAAACAATAACGAAAAACTTATCATTTTCAATGCTTTCTTGATTATGCTGTCAAAACGGTACTCCCGTAGTGTGTGTACCAGGTTAAGGTCAGGCCATAATTTCATTCCGATTTTCTTTACTTTAGTTCTATTTCGAGTTCGGAGACTGTATATGTTATCTAAGTGAATACCCCCTGTCCATAAGTTTAAGTCCCTTTACACAACTTAATGTAAAGTAGGCGAACAAAATTAGTTAACTCCATATTGGTACACACACTTCTAGAGCGCCATCGATTCTGTAAATTTCTTTCGATTTAAAAAACATATATATCATTCAAGAATACCTCCTTCCTCCTCTGGTTCGTCTTTTGTCTTTGTGAATACGGTGTCTGTGTCTGTGTCCTCATCCGAGAGAGGAAGCTGATAAAAGTACGAGAATTGAAGACTTATTTTTGCAACAGAAATGCTGGTAACACGGTATAATCACATGAAATAACTTTATTTGTGACAATTAGTAAGTATCCTTTTGTTAATGTACATGCCATCGATTTTATTTTCATAGTTGCGATATGCTTTTACAAACTTACAAATCTAATCTAATAAGATAAATTTTGGTGCTCCCGAAGTATGCGAACCAAGATGGCGGACATCGGAACGTAACATGGGTAACAGGTTAGGGTTAGGCGATAATTTTTTTCCAATTTTTTTTATTTTAGTCCTATTATCAGTTCGAAGACTAGCCAAGAGCCTCCCGTAGTATTTATACCTAAAATTATGGCCTAACCCTAACCTAGTACACAGATTACATTCCGATGTCCGCCATCTTGGTTCGCATACTTCGGAAGCCCCTAAATTTTTTTATATTCATTATGGAAAGAGTAAAGATTGTACGTGCTTTAGAAGTGGAGATACGAAATTATGGGAAAATCTTTGAATCTTTTATTTAAAGCTTCCGCCAAAAATAGCACCCAACCTCCGCTCAAAAAAAAATAGTAAATATCCAGTTACGGTTAGAAATGCAGATTACACTGGAAATTCAAATTTCCGAATCATTCCTAATCTGAACCTTATCTAGATAATTACTAATTTGGTATTTTAAAACAAGGGTCGTTTTTCTCAGATTGCACATTTTTGCATTAGTGACGGTGGCTACGTAAAAAAGATCTAATTTAGTGGGCGCGCTGGCCTAGCAGTTAATGTATTTGATTTAACGATATTGGCACCACAGCTCAGAGATTCCTTGTTCAAATCCTATTCCCGCCATTTCAGGTTGTGATAAATCAAATCACCCCACTAGGGCACGTAAGGCGGCGCTCATAAGTATTCGAACTAAGATGGCGCACAACCTTCTGACCTTGACCTGGTACACATACAATGTTCAGGTTGTGCGCCATTTTGGTACAAATACTACGGAAGCATCCCTATTATTATGCCGTTTTCATCGGCTTTCATCTTCTACATTTTACGAGGACAAAATATCATTCAATAAATCATATTTTACCTCTTCGGTGGCGGCATCTTCAGTTGTTCCATCCTCTTTCTCTGGCACTCCATCTTCGTTATCAACTACGTCATCTTGGGAAGCAACGAAGGTCGCCAACAGGCAGAAATAAATCAAGATTATGAGAGACTTCATATTGAATCTGCCTGGAATTAGAAATAAAAAAGAATTTTATGTTCTGGTTAGTAGTTTTTTAAGTAAAATTTCCTCACGTGCACTCACTCTGAAACAAAACAAAAAATGACGGCGAAGGTGCGCCCTAAGGGGACCTCTGAGCAGTTAGATGAGGGCACTATTCTGAGCGCAAAAATTGATTTCACTTTATAATAACTCTCTTTATAATAAAATTGCCCATTCTCCCTAGTTTCGTTACTTTATAAGGTTATTAAATTTTTTGCCATTTTACCGTCTCTATAAACCATTATATTTAAAATTAACCGTGATTTACCGTGCTGTCCATTCATTCATTATATTTAAAAATAAGCATTTTAACAGTTTACCGTGTCTATTAAACCACCACGTTTCAAAAATAAACATTTTATCATTTTACCGTTTCTATGGTACACTATATTGTAAAATAAAGATTTTACCATTTTACCGTGTCCATAAATCACTATAATATTTAAAAATAAACATTTAACATTTTACCGTGTATCTGGTATCGTAGAATATCAGAAGTTTTGCTTGAAATCGCCGTCGTCTAAATCTGTCTACGCTTAACCAAAGTGAAGGAACAAATGATCTGACAAAGCCAGTCGGAGAACGGCACATGAAATTTTCTTTGTTTCCGAGGAAGCAAGTCATAAAGGATATGAAAATACCTAAAACATGATTTTTCGTTTTTAACACTGAAACATAACTCACGAAATGGGTCAAACGATTCATGTATATTTGTTGAATCTGAAATCATCTGGTTTGAAATACGCTACACAAAGAGAATTGTTTTGGGTCGATGTGGCGAAAATCTTTCAACTTTGAACCCACGTATCCCAACCGGAAAGAAAGAGAGGAGGGTGTTCTTAGGGTTGAATTTTGTGTTTTATTTGCCGTAGTGTTACTAATTTTCTTCATTTATAAGTAACTTGAACTGTGCTTTAGTTCAAACATTTCGCTTTATACTGTGCAATTGAAGGATCCTGCGGTACACTAACGCAAAGGCATTAAGGAAGGATTGGGAGTTAGTCTCGCGTAACCTTTGCTGATGATTATAGTTTGCTTATAACTACACTTACTCTGAGCTCGGGGAATTCTAAAAAGTTCCATATATTTGGCGGAGCTGTTTCTTTAACCGGTTCCATTACATTTGAACCCACGTACATTTGAACCCATGACAATTGCACCTGTATGCTATTGCACCTATGGAATTTTTTTTGTTTCACGGATAGTTAAACCCATACTAACCCTAACCCATGGGTTTTAGCACCCGCATATAGATTGAACCCGTGGATATACGCATGGGTTCAAATGTACGGTCACCCTTTAACCTTGGTCATATGGCGTCGCATATCTTCGCAACGTAAAGACTCTGTATGAAGGCCACCGCTAGTCGCCGCCTATCTACCCCAGGCTCAGTGATAAAATGATACCTTTTCCTATCGTGCTACTCTAATTAGTGCTTTGAAATAGAAGAAAAATTAATACCGAATGCAGTTATTAAAAAAATTGTTCCCAAACAATTTCGGCTCTGACTTTATATTTCCATCCGCCACCCCCACCCCAAAACGAAAAGTCGAATCAAATATATAGTGTCATGCATGCAGTTTAATAAATAAAAAGAACAATTTTCAAAATGCTTGGCACATAATGGGGTCGTCAAAAAATTGTGACGTAACAAAATGCATCTGAAAATTGCGTCGAGTATTCGTCGTCGATGCGTTTCCATCAGTCCGTCATCGTTAAAAATCAAGTCCATACAGCGGTAACGTATTCAATTATCGTTTTTAAGGGGTTATTCAAGATTCGTGACGTCATGATATATGACGTCATGTATTTTTTGACAATAAATTCTAAATGTTAGTGAATCGTAGCTTAATAATATTGAAGTAAAATAGCCAGGATGCGGTTGAATTTTGAAAATGCAATAAAAAATCAGCAAAAAATTCAAAAAAAGTTTTAGTAAGGGGATCAGTGTTCGTGATCATCATTTATGACGTCGTCTATCTTTTTGGATACTCAATGTCAATGTCAATGTAAATACGCCACCGCATGAACGAATAAAATTAATTTTTTTGTCTAAATTTCATTTCTATCTTCTTCAGAGATGTTGAATCCTCTGCAGAAGAATCCCACGTCACTCCTTGACCAGCTTGCTCGGGTATTCCCCCCCAAATATAAACACCATTGGGATTTGCTTGCTGGCAATCGCTGAACCAGAATCCACCAAACACTAAGGAAGCGCAATTATCGTCTTCGTTTGCATCATTGTCTACGTCATAAGTAGTGAATTTCATTCCATTATGCGTTGACAATGAATCTCCAGCGTCGCCATCGTAGCCGTCAACTCGAAGCTCGTATTGTTCGTCTTCTGATCCAACATTGAAGATTCTAAAACGAGAAAAAGTAAGGAATTAGACTTTCCAATTATGACTCGACTTGACTTGTGACTCAAGAGTGCAGTGACTCGATTTGACTTAGGGATCAAATTTTTGTGACTCCGGATAACCAATGACTCGCCGTCGAGTTTATAGAATTGTACTCATACTGGTTAAACCAGAGTGAAACTGTAGTCCATAGTTGAGTTGATTTTTAAAATAAGATTTATATTCGACCCGAGAAGCAGAGTCGATAATACGGCTCAATCATGTGGCAAACCACGGCCTCTCGCCAGATAACCAATCCACAACGATCAAGGGATTAACTAGTAAGCATAATGGTCGTTTAAATGAGCATCATCCTTTTTGTTTTACCCGTAACAACTGACTAATCGTAAACAGGTTAACGATGTCGGGTATCGTGATAGTTAACGAGTAATTTGTTTCTGATTTATGTTCTTGTAGTTTATTCGAAGAAGATTCTTCAAAAAAGGACCATGTTTTTCTATCCTAAAATAAGCGGAATATATCAAAAATTACTCTGATGCCGAGACATGCTCGAAATCATTCTTCAAGTCGAATTGAACCAGTAGATAAATACAAAATATTAAATCAAGTTTCACTCGGTCAAAAATTAAATGCAAAACCGAGTCATATTCTATATTTCCCTATTTTTAGTCGTGAGTATTGATATAAATGAGTCGTGCCTACCCAAGTTTCACTGCTCATTTATTTCAATTTCGAGTCGAATTCGCCGGTAGGAGTATTAGTCCTACGCCGAGTCATCCCATGGAGTGACGAGTTGACTTACCCATAATAAGCATATGAAACGGTATCATTCCAATCTGACATCTCGATCATCAACTCATATTCTCCGTTTTCGGTCAGTAAGTAAAGCTTTTCTAATCCTGTGAGCAATATAAAGTTATTTTGAGACGATTTGTTCAGAAACTTGATGGGGCAGCCGAATTCACAGCTTTGTGACATGTCCTATCCAGTGGTTGGATTCAGCCGGTTTGCACCGGTTCTATAGAACTGTCTCACGTAATTATATGAGATCAGCGAACCGGTTAGCATTACTGGTTACTCTCAATGACATTTTGTAACAGAACCGGCTGGAAAATATGACTTTTGTGATGAAATCGGCTTAGAAAAAAATTGAATTCTACCACTGGTCCTATCCAATTCAAGAGTTCTGCTGCAGACTAACACAAAATGTATTTTTGTAACGTTTCGTCTGACCAAAATCAGACTTCAAACAAACAATGGCAACAATGACAAGAAAAGAACAATCATACTGTTTATGAATACCTTCGAATTGGGAGTTGGTCTCGCGCAATCTCTACCGATAGTTAGATTTGTGGGTACGCCTGAAGTATGCGCACCAAGATGTCGCACAACCTGAACCCTAACCTGGCACACAACCTGAGTTCAGGTTGTGCGCCATCTTGGTGCGCATACTTCAGGAGGGCCGATTTGTGACATTGGTGTTATAGGTGTTATAAATATCTTAGGTTCAAACCCCGCACTTTGATCGAGACATGGAGCAAATTAAAACATGTTCAGTGCTCGTCTTCGAACTAAACTCAGACTCTTATTAGCATATGACACTTTAGAGGTCGCCTACATTTCAAACATATAAATCACCCAGAGAACAATTACCTTGAGTGTGCGTGACTTTGCTTTGAGCAAATTTTCTTGGAAATACTAAATAAGTTATTTGAAAAGTTGAAAAATAAAGTTTTCTAATTCGAGTCATTAGGAAAATATCGAAATTTGACTCGACTCAATCCGAGTCGTCATGAGGGGCGTAATCATGAATTTTCAATGAGAGGGGGGGGGGGGGTGAAATTTTCGATTGGGTGTTGCTTCATGATAATCGGTATTGGTTTTTGCGCCTTCCCTAACCCTGAGATGCCATTTTGCGTTGTTGTTTATTTTGTTTGTAGAAAGTGTATTTGCACAATGGTGAAAATTCCGATTGCTCCCTGCCAAGTTGGACGACAACAGCTAGCGACCCGCAAGCGAACCCCCTCTGGTCTTCATATATGATCAAAGTTTTGCTATCCCCAGAAAAAAATATTAAAATAAATCTTCTTACCAAGCCAAAACTCTCCCGTCAAGTCCCCGAATCCGGAAACATATTCATCCCAAGATTTTGTGAAATTGACCGAGCCATCTAGACGTCTTTGGAATACCTGGAAAGTTTTTATCATTAATTGACAAGCCTGCTGAAATGAGAGTTTTAAGAGTAATATTCATCTTGTTTAATTCAGTGGCTCTCAAACGATGGGGCGCGCCCCCCATAAGGGGAGTAGGCAATTTTTTGAGGGGGGCCAGAAGCTAATTAAAAATAAAAAGTTTGAGAACCACTGGTTTGATCAGTAACTATATTTCATCATGAGAGTATGTAAAATATTTTAAGAGAAGAAAATTAAATCGTTTTTCGCCCAATCCCAACCAGTCGGTACTCGGTTATAACCAGTTTAGACCAGTCCAAACCGGAAAACTCCATTTATAAAAACTTCAACGCTCACCGTCCATCCGCCTCCATCACTTGTGATGTCACAAAACACTTGATAGGTCCCCATCAAAAGTTCGTCATAGACTGTGGCAATTCCTCCACGCCCATCGAAGTCTTGCAAATTATTCGATTGCACGGAATTGCAGCCAGTTGGATACGCAAAATCTGAAAGTAAAAAGGGATTTATTTCATTGCTGACACAAAGGTACGTTTAAGTTAAGATCGCGCGGGTTTTAGGCATGCTTGAGTCATTGCTCCGAATCGTGTTGAACACTAGTAACTATTCATCATATCAGTAGTTCCCAAACCGCGGCCCGCGGGTTAATTACGGCTCCGTAACGATTTAATATGGCCCGCCGAACTAGTAGTGAAATAGTTTAACACTTTACTTTTTTCTTTTGTTACGTTCTATATACCAATTGTTACGTCATCGTCGCAGTAGCACGTGTAAAGTCGTATCAATTCAAGTATACCGGCATATTTATTTTCACATGGCGATACTGGTAATGGCCCCTAGAAGGCGCTCGCTTCACCCGCCCGCGAATATCCCTGCGCTGTTAATTTTGGACCCCGGCCAATCAACTTTGGGTGCCACTGATCTGAATGAAATGACTCGGACTCGTCGTCAACTAACCAGCAGTGAAACTAAGCTCGTTGATTATTACGAGTTCGGGATTAACTCAGGATCGGGATGACTCGACATGACTCGCGTTTTACGACTTCTATACAACATTGATTCAAACATTGCTCACAACACTCACCAAGGGAGCAATAAATTTGGTAGGTCAAATTATATTGGGTTAGCATTCCGGCACTTCTTAGAATACGATAACTCTTAACGTGCCAGGTGTTAGAATCGAGCATTCGCTAAACATATTCCAGGTTACATGACTACTTACTCAGGACTCAAATGCATAAGTCAACCTATATTAAAAAGCCGTAGGCGGTTTTGAGTAGTTTAAAGCCCATAGCGGATAGCTAATTCATAATTTTTGTTTTTCTTGAGTGATTCGGATCCGGATATAATCATTTTTGACTCCATAACACTGGTAAATTCACTTACGTCCAATTTCTTCTTCCACGATGTCCAGTACAACCTTCAAACTGAAATACTGACTGGTGAATTCGTCATTGAGAGCTGAACACAAAAAAGCAAATTCAGTCATTTTATAATGATAAATTATCACACCATAGATTAAAGATTTCGAGTGCGATTTTATTGTTTGTCAAATACCGTTTCGAGCCTGTAAAAAATACCAGCTTAAACCGGTTCACACCAGTTCAAACCAGAAAAAGTTGTGCAAAATACCTCAACCATTGTGTAACAAATTTGGTTGCCAACTGATATTATAATTTTAGAACATGATAGAAAAATATGCCTAAATTATACGCCTTAATAAAACCTTAAGTAGAGAAGGAGCATAAGTAGAGGCTTTAGTGCTCCCGAAGTATGTGCACCAAGACGTTAGGTTATCAGGTTAGGGTTATCGTTATCGTTATCAATTGTTAGCCAAGTCGGTGCTCCCGAAGTATGTGTACAAAGATGGCGCACAACCTGAACATGGTATGCGTACAAGGTTAGGCTTCAGGTTGTGTGTCATCTTGGTGCACATTATTTTGCAGCACCTCCAAGTGAATATACCCCCTGCTTATAGGTCTCTTTACACAACTTGATGTAAAGTAGGCGGACAAAATTAGTATCTCCATATTGGCACACACATTTCTGGAGCGCCTTTTTCGGGGTGTATTAGATTGATTGAGGTAAAAGCCAAAAGGTTATTGCACTTTCCTGACATAGTGGCGCCAAAAATATCAATATGCTTTGCATGTCTAAAAATATGTTCAGGGCGACAATTTACATAAATTTACCTTCGATTCTGCTGCTCAGGGCTTCTAATTTTGTGCTGTGTTGTTCCAGCGTACTTTGTATACCTGAGAAATAGAATTGAAATATTTACCAATCTGAGTGATATCATGTTATACCTCATCAATAATTCTTGATTCTCTTTGTTTGGATTAGGACAAGTTGAGTTAATAATTACGACATTAGCTCAATGTTTTTTGATTCAAGAGTCTTGCTACACACTAACACAAATGAATGTATTTGTGTAACATTTCGTGTGGCCAGTCAGACAAAACATTACAGAAATATATTTGTGTTAGTGTGCAGCAAGACTATTGAATCACTTAGGATAGTTATCTTTACTCTTGCTACAGCATCCTTGCAATATATGCATACGGATCCGCCGACACAAAAGCGTAGAAGACGGATAAGTAGTTAGTCTCACAGAAACCAAATCATTAGCGCAAGTTAACTTAATACTTTGCGTTTATTTTAACTCTTTTGTAAACAAATTTCCATGCTTTATTGAGGACTGGAAGCTAAACAATTTGAGAATCGAAGTATATTACGAGGTCATATACATAGTGTACTGTAGTAAATTTAAATTTCTCTGCACAGGGTGAGTTAGTTAGAATACTTTACCTTCTAAAGCTGCGAGAATGTCGTCTGATTGCGTGGCGTCGTCACCAGAATCTGACTGTCCTTCTCTGCCCTCGTATTCTGCGTCACTGCTGTCGTCATCAGCCACGTCACTGCTTTCGGCATTACCATCGTTACTTGCATCATCTGCTACGTCATTTTCTGCATCTTCAGCGTCACCTTCTGCGTCGGCTGCGTCACCTTCTGCGTCTGCCGCGTCACTTTGTGCGTCTTCAGCGTCATCTCCTGCTTCGGCTGCGTCATCTTCTGCTTCTGTAGCGTCACCTTCTGCTTCTGCAGCGTCACCTTCTGCGTCTGATGCGTCACTTTCTGCGTCTGCTGCGTCACCTTCTCCGTCTGATGCGTCACTTTCTGCGTCTGCAGCGTCACTTTCTGCGTCTGCCCAGTCGTAGGCACCGTACTCTCCACTTCGACCGCCGCCATTGCCGTCATTTGCTGCATTTTGACCCTCACCATTTGCATCGCCGCCATAGGTATTGGCATCACCGCCATAGTTATTGGCATCACCGCCATAGTTATTGGCATCACCGCCATAGTTATTGGCATCACCGCCATAGTTATTGGCATCACCGCCATAGTTATTTGCATTGCCGCCATAATTATTGGCATTACGGCCATAATTATTGGCATAGCCGCCATAGTTATTGCCAGCACCTTTCTCGCCTCCGCCATTATTGTTGTAACCCCCGTTGTCACCATAGTAATTCCGTGCTCCGTAATCATTGTACGCCCCGCCACCACCCGATCTCTCCCCGGCATATCCGCCATCGCCATATTTTCCATCGCCACCATAATATCTACTGCCATCATATCTTTTTCCTTCTTGGCCACTATTTTTCACAAATACAGGGTAGTAGTTATCGGCTTTCAAATTTTTTTTAACTGTTGCCTCTAATTGGCTCCCAATTAATCCTGCCTTTGCAGCCGCTACAATATAGTCATAGGCAAAGTCGTAAGAGTCACCATCTGGCTTGGGTCTTACAGACTTGGGGCGCTGGTTTCGACTTCGTGGGGGGACAGCACGGGGGCCAACTGGCAAGTCAGCTTTTTTGTCATCTTTGTCGTGCTTTTCACGCCTTTCTTGTTTCTCGCTCCCGGGCCCGTGAAAGCTTTTAGGCGCACGCGGAGAATCTATACGTGCATAGCCGTGTTCGCCGGCTCCAAAGTATTCATATAGCTCATTCACATCTAATTCATCATAATAATCGCTCTGGTAATAATCACCGTCTCTAGCGTAATACCATTGCCCGTCGACATTAGCTAGAGGATCGTCGAAATATTCTTTGCCTCTGAAGTGCTTGCTACCGTGAGGAGCATCGCCACTTCTTGCGGTATCGTCCAAATTACTTTCACTTCCTCTTTGCTCTCCACCGCTGCCATACCATTGCCCGTCAGCATCATATGAAAGGTCGTCGAAATACTCTCCGCCTTCAAACTGCATGCTATCATAAGAAGCATCGCCACTTCTTGCGGTATCGTCCAAATTACTTTCACCTCCTCTTTCCCCTTCACCGCTGCCATCTGTATATCCATTACCATCTTCATATCTATAATCATCTCCGCCTCTGTCCGATGCGCCATAGTTTTCTGCCCCGTCGTATTGATTTTGGGCATCGTTGGCACTTTGGGCATCTCCGCCCGAATTATCACTCCCAGCGCTGTCTGAAGCATCAGATTCGTCGTTTTGACCGTCGCCGGCCGCTTCTTCGCTGCTATCTTCGGCACTATCTCCCGCATCCCTTCCAGCATCGTCTTCGCTGTCACTTTCTGCGTTATCGTCTTCACTCGCAGATTCGCCATTATCGTCTCCATTTTCAGTGCCCTGAGTCGAACTTTCGGCGTCACCATAGTCACCCTCTGTGGCGTCTCCATCACTTTCGGTGACATCCCCATCACCTTCGGTGACATCTCCACTGCTTTCGGTGACATCTCCACTACTTTCGGTTACATCTCCACTACTTTCGGTGACATCTACACTCATTTCGGCGTCACCTCCACTACTTTCGGTGACATCTCCACTATTTTCGGAGGCCTCGCTTTCACCTTCGGTGACATCTCCACTGCTTTCGGTGGCGCCACTTTCGGTGGCACCATCGCCACTTTCGGTGTCATTATTAGATTCGCTGTTTTTATTGTTTTTAGTTTTATTTCTATTTTTGTATCTTCCTGCTCTGTTTTCAACATCGTAATCATAATAGTACCAGTCGTCATCGTCTTCATATTGAGTGGCATTTTCTGTGGCATTTTCTTCGTTTTCCGTGGCGCCTTCTCCATTCTCAGATTCTTCAACGCCACTGTCACTTGTGGCGTCCTCGCTGTCGCCGCCATTTTCATCTTGAGCGCGAATTATGTGGCCAAAAAGAAGGCAAGATAAAAGACAAATAACTAATGGCCTCATACTTACGGGCCTCTTATTTCTAAATCTGTCAAATAGAACTTATTTGTTATAAAACTGACAACCCAAACCGACTGTATGTTTGAGGTAGGCAGTCTGAAATGGTAGGGTCTGGTATAGTTAAGTATCACATGCACTTCCAGTTGAAATGGCTCAACAATTTTTGCATATGTCATAACTAACCCCCACCTGACTACGTCACAAAAAAATTACATCATATTTTGGGCAATCATAGCAATACTTTAACAAGCTATATGACGCGATTGTGACGTCGAAGTGACGTAATTTTTGGATGGCATAACCAGGTGAGGGTTAGTAATAACATATGCGATTCGTTATGCTACGCCCACTGGAAGTACTTGTAGTACAACAATATATTAGACCCGAAATTATGGAGGTTTCTTTTTGGTAACGGATTGGCCTCGTTCATTTGGTGATCTCTCTTAAATACCTTCGAGCAAGTCTCTAGACTTGTCTCTAAACTTTTTGATAAAACGGGACTTTAATGAAACATTCCAAAGGCCTGAGTAACACCCGTACAATAGTTTATTTATCTTTTATATTCTAAATTGTATAAACTATAATTATAACAAACCTAATACTGGCAGAGCAAAATCTATTTCAATACATGTATACTTTTTAAATATAATCAAATGAATATTAAATATGCCACTATTATTAGACTTCAAAATCATTTTGTTTGCCTATCTATACTGTATAACTGTATATACTCAAGGTGAAATAATTTGGGGAGAGAGGATATCTCCTGTAATGCCTTCGATTAACCTGAAAAATATAATCAGATTTAAAATTTAGCTGTCAGGTAAATAAATTCACTAATACATGCTTGCTTTTGAACAGGGTGGTCCAAGGTTGTCGGCTCCGCGGGCCACAAAATTATTTTTGCATTGTTTGCGGGCCACAATAGTGCCAAGAATAGGTAGGTAAACAGTGCAATACAAAACAAACACCTTCATTGTGCAAACACATAGTTATCAGGCATAGCCATTCTAGGCTAATAGAATCCGCTTTCGATTTTTAGTTTTCTATGATGCCTATATTGTTTGCATATATTCCCGACCAAAAAGTTTAGAAAGTCAGATAACACTTTAGACGCCAAGCACATCATTCAACTTCGCTAGTTTCCCCAGCTATCCATAACACTATTCAATTCAGTGACAATAGTGATGACGATATGTCAAAAAAAAATTCTGATTAATTTTATGACGAAACAACACAAAATGCGATTTTTTGATTACTCTCCGAATGTGACGCGGGCCACAGATAATGAAGCGCGGGCCACATGTGGTTCGTGGGCCTGGGTTCGGACCACTCTGCTTTAGGACATAAAAAAAAATACAAATAATCGCTTGTTACATTTTTACCGGATTGTTGCGAAATTATTTTCAAAATACATCTCTTATTCATTAACTTTTTTGAATCCGATCTGAAAAGAATATGTAATGAAATTTTACACCTCTATTATACATAGCTCACGGTTTTTCAGCAAGTCCACTATCTGTCCTTCTTTGTGCAAATTTTTCTGAAAAATAAGAGATATTTACCTTTAATTATTTTTAATGAGTTTCGTGGGCACGATGACTTAATGTTAGAGCGTTAGACTTAATTAACTAAGTCGGTGCTCCCGAAGTATGCGAACCAAGATGGCGGACATCGGAACGTAACATGGGTAACAGGTTAGGGTTAGGCGATAATTTTTTTCCAATTTTACCTATTTTAGTCCTATTATTAGTTCGAAGACTAGCCAAGAGCCTCCCGTAGTATTTATAGCTAAAATTATGGCCTAACCCTAACCTAGTACACATATTACATTCCGATGTCCGCCATCTTGGTTCGCATAATTCGGGAGCCCCACTAAATTGCTATCCCAGATTACGGATTTCGGATCCAAACCCCGCGTCCGTGCATATTTGCAATTTGTTTCTATCTGCAATTACCTTGGCTATGCTTTGAGGAAACTTACCTAAAGTTAGTGGTGGGATTCAGCCGGTTTGCACCGGTTCTATAGAACCGTCTCACAGAATTTTATTAGATCAGCGAACCGGTTAGCATTACTGGTTACTGTCAATGTTCTGTTTGTAACAGAACCGTCTGAAAAATATAACTTTTGTGAAAGAACCGGCTGACAAAAAATTTCAATCCCACCACTGCCTAAAGTTAATTTGATTATTCAATATTGCTGCTACAGACTTGTGTTGGGATGAAAAGCATGAAAATCTATCTAATAGAGCAGTGGTTCCCAAACCGCGGCCCGCGGACAATTATGGCCTGTGTAACAATTCAATATGGCCCGCCGAACTCAAGTGAAATGGTTTATCATTTTATGTTTACCTTTTTGCGGTCTAAATACCGCCAATTGTTACGTCATTATTACAGTTTAAGCACGTGTGTATATTTCTAATAATTCGATTATATCGGTATCTTAGTTATACGTACCGGTTCCGGAATTGCCCCCTTGCGGGCGCCCTCTACCGGCCCGCGAATATTCTTCCACTTCTTATTTTGGCCCTCGGTCAATCACTATACTAGAGTTTCTTACGGAGGAATATCAGATACATTGCTTTCAGCTTCTCACTGGTTACATGCGAATTCTCCCATTTGTAGTTGCGCTTTGAATAACCTGAAAAAATAAGAGAACCAAATTTAATTTTACTTAATAAAATATATTTTTTTACAGGATCGGATTAAGATAAAAAAAACGTAAATATTACTGTATTTCTATTGAATTTATTCTAGAGTTGTTTCGAAAATATTTCAAAAATATTGTAGTTTCTCACATGTTAGTATACACCAGGGTCGGCCAACCTTTTTGGCCGACGGGCCACGTTTAGTTTACTAATGATTGCGCGGGCCACCTAACATGGTAATTATATTCTAGTTTTGCTACACTGACTAAAAGTTAATGAAAAAACAAACAAAACCCTTGCACCAAACTTTCTCGACAATAAGAACAATAAAAAAACGAAGATAAAGTACAGTACACGTAGATATTTAACTGTGAATGTTGGTACTGTTTTTCGCTAACCAGTTTGTCAATATTCGCTGAACACTGGTGTTCAGGGTCTCGTTCAAAGTGAAAAAGTTGAGAATTCCACAGACACAGGCTTGCTTTAAAATAAAGAACAAGAAGATTTTGTAACAATTCTATTCAGAAGAGTATATTATGTGTAAGATGATATTTACAACGTCATTATTATTGCTTTATTTATATTTGATTAATTATTACTTTACAGAACGTTGAGGATTACTTCTCCGCCAACCCAGATTTGAATCGCGACCCACTTGAAAAAACATTTGATTGTTTAGCTCAATGGTAGCTATCTGTAATGTCTTAGTTTTGAGCTAAATAATCTGGAAAATATTATAAAAAATTAAATTTTAATATCAAAGTTACATTATGTTACTATCATGTTTTATAGCTATATATATCTGTTATAATAACTCACAGTTTCTCAGAATTGTTCGAAATTCATTTTCATCTGTAATTTCTCCGGCGTCGCTTTGTGCAAACCAACCTGAAAAAAAGATAATAAGTCTTTAAATTTGAATTTCTGTAATTTCTCTGGCGTCGCTGTGTGCAAATTGACCTGAAAAAGTTTGAATATCGTCATTAATTTACATATTTTTTATTGATTTGGTTTTATTACAATGAAAATCCTGAGTTCGATTATCACACTCCGGGTAAAATAAACAGCGTGGTGTTTGACAATTAAACTGCAACGACAGTATAGATATCAATTATTGAAAAAATTGATTTCCAGGCGATCCAGTTTTGGGTCACGACTCATAGGTTGGAAAACAATGATTATAGTACCTTGATGATCGCTTTCAATTTCACTATCTGGAATTTCTTTGACGTTGCCTCGAGGAAATTAACCTGGAGAATATTTAAAAAAAATTAAATTTGAATATTGAAGTTATATTATTTTACTATCATGTAATGGAACTATGCGGGTGTACATAAAGTTCTTTCACAATTTTAATTTTGTTATGAAGTCAGTTTTCAATATATCGATATACCAGGTTTGTTGTTTTTTAATCGGTAATTGTTCAAGTATTTTTACTTCATTCAATACAACTGTGAGGGCCGAAACAATATATGGTATCAATAAATTATCTTTTGCAATTTTAAAAAATTGTAAAAGGACTCTAAAGACACCCTATATATCTCTGATATAATAACTCACAGTTTCACAGAGTTATTTAAAATTCCTCTATCTGTTATTTCTTCGGCATCGATTTGTGCGAAACAACCTGAAAAAAATTACCAAGTCTTTAAATTTTACTAACTTGGCTTCAATACAATGAAAATCCCGAGTTCGAGTCACGAAAAACTATTGAATCTATGCCAAGCAAAGATTGGAATAAGAAAACAGTGTTACGCAAAGAATTTCGAGATTTGAAAAAAAAAACAGAATCATTTTAGATTTGTTTCATCCTGAAAAGTAATTAATGAGTCTTTGAATTTAAATATCATCATTAATTTACATATTTTTTGCTTGCTTTACTTTATTACAATGAAAATCTCTAGTGCGAGTCGTAAAAATTATCAAGGCTAAGTAGAAAAATACTGTTACGAGAGAAGCTTTAAAGTTTTGAAAAAACAAGAATCTCTTGGATTCGTTATAACCCTCTTGAATTATTACATCTCGGGTGCAACCGTGATATTTAAACTTCGACGCCAGTATAGATAGCTTCATTATGCTCAGACCACAATGAATATCACGTTTTGAGTAAACTTGTATTGTCTTTTATGCAGCACGTACCTCTTAGCGTAACATTATTCGCTCGTAAGTTTCAGTGGTAGCAAGCAACTCTTCTATCAATACTTCCCTTTTTAGTTGCATTTCTGAGATTCGGTTGAACGTCTTACTTTGAGCCAACTTTTATAAAAAAAAAATATCGCAAATATTTAGATTTCAAAATACTATCTCACATGTTAGTTGTCGTTTCTGCTCTTTCCAATTTTTCAGTAAATAGTCTGCGATCTTACGTCAAACAACCCTGCATAAAAATAATAACAAATTT